ATAACGGTGATTATCACATGACCCCTATCACATGATTATCACAACCATATCACATGATTATCACATGATTAGGGTTGCTTGTTGCATGCAATGGCTTCTCGATTAGGGTTCTTGGTCGATTACGGTTGTGTGTTCTTGGTTGGTCACCGTCGATCAACACCATCGCCGTCCGTAGTTCTTGCGATTTGAAGTTAGACTTGTAATCGTAACCGTTTTGTAGATGATAATGATAAGTTTAAAAGATTTTGATTGTGTTTAATGATAAGTTTAAAAGATTCTAACCRTTTTCTAGATAATATATCATTTCCATTATTACCCTTTTAATTTTAAATTTTTTTGAATCTTTTTAAATTTTAATTTTAAAAATCTTTTATTTTTATTTTTTTATCACAATATGTGGTTATTGAGTTGTCTCGCGTTTTCGTAAATCACAGGGGTTCTCGTTTGAACCCTTCCCTATATATATATTTATATATATATATATATATTTATATATATATATATATATAGGGGTCCATTCAAGAGAAAACTGATTAGTTTGTGGTAACTGTGAGATCCAATCTCAACAACAAATCAACGGATAAATTAGTAAATTAATAATTATAATAGTTTGAATTAGAATTATAATTAGAGGACATTTTAAGTATTTTTAAAAAACTCCTCTCTCCTCTCTCATCTTTCCGACCTCCAATCTCCGGCCTCCGGTGAACAAAAATCCGGCAGGTACCAAGTAATCACAAAGATACACAATGTGATACCCATTGTGATATACTGTGATACCATTTGAGTACCATTGTATATCATAATGGGTATCACATTGTGTATCTTTGTGATTAGTAGGTACTTGCCGGATTTTTTGTTCACCGGAGGCCGGAGATTGAAGGTCGGAGAGATGAGAGATAAGAGAGAAGAGAGAAGAGAGAAGAGAGGAGAGATGAGTTTTTTAAAAATACCTAAAATTACCTTTAATATATGGTTGGGTTCACGTGAGACCAGTGGTTTTTCGTGAGACCCGTAAGACCAATTTATTTTCATTGATCAACTTTATAAGTTAATGATCTAACGGTCTAAAGTTGCACAGTGACAAATTTTGTGATTATTGAGAAGTCTCATGACAATTTTGTGATTATGAATGTTCAGATTGTAGATCTAATTCAAGAGTTGAGAATTGGTCTTACGGGTCTCATGAAAAACCCTTGGTCTCACATGATTCCAAGTATATATATCACATGTGAATACCAAGTCACAATACCTTACCGAATGAATATGGTAAGGACCAAAAATCTTACCCGGTAAGAACGAGACAAGAAACAAGAGTCTTACCCGGTAAGTGAGGGCGACGACTCTTACCACGTTAAGCGCTTACCGTGTAAATTGTTGAATACGATACTGTTTTGATGGACTAAAATCTTGTTAGATTTTGCCGGTGGTAAACGGCCCCTTAGAATGGAATGGAATTCCATTCTTTCGTAAATAATTTGTAAAAATAATTAAGTTACCTATTTATTAAAGAATTATTAGAAAATAAATGTTTTTAACATATTTTAAAACACTATTGTATATAAATCCTACAAAATCTCGTGAACTCCTAACAATTTTACACACCAAATACAGGCTAGGAATTTCAAAATCCAGACAATTTTACACACCAAATACAGGATTGGAATGGATTTCAAATCCATATCCCCTTAATTCCATTTCACTTCTACAAACCAAACAAACCCTTAATAATTTAATGAAATTACTTTTAGACCTTTGTTCGTTTTACAATTTTTTCATATGCAAAAATCTACTATCATATTTTATTATGGATTCGTTATTGTCTCTTCATTACGGTCCAAGTCTATTTTTTTGAAAACCAAACTTTCACTAATGATCAAACGAAGTACAAATAACGTTCGAATTCTTTAACGAGCCAATCAGAAAAGGTCACATTAGTCGGAAGTACCAGGAGGTCTCAGGTTCAAATCAAAGGAGAAATAAAAATCCCTTGTGGTCACGGAGGTTCAAATGTTGTGACTTCAGGCTATCTGTAAAGCAGATGCTCGTTTTGGAATTAGTCGGCTCGCATAGCGGGTTAGATATCCAGGTTAATAAAAAAAAAGTCACATTAGAAATAGAAGGGGAGACAAAAAAAATTGAGATGGTTTTGCAAAAGGGTAAACCATGAATAGTTTAGTTCTATTATAATTTATAAAAACAGAGTGATTACTAATTGGGCCAGCCCATCTAGCCCAAGACGGGTTTTGAAAATTAAGAATTCCTACAAATGGAAATATCTATACTATGTTATAAAGCATTTGACAACAATTAGTAAATTTTTTTATGCATAAAACACTGTTTATTGATGCATGTTATTTAAAACTCAAGATTACAAGTAGATTGTGCGTAAGTACAACTTATTAAAACTCCATATCTGAATTCGTTTAACTAACTTCATATAAACATAATCAAATACAGGATAAACATACAATTTTAAATATCAAAAATCTAAAATATAATTAGGATAATCATTGAGTTCTAACATAATACTTAATTATTATCTTTATAAAATGTTATATTATTAAACCAAAAATAAATTATTTCATTATTAAACTTAAATTAAATTATAATAAAAAAATAAATTAAAAAAAATCATAAAAAATAAGAACTTTTAAATAGTTGATTTGATATTAACATTGATATATTTTTTTCCAAATCTTTTATGATATCTTTTTATTCATATTTTATTAAAAAATAAGATCATTATTACTTTTTAAAAACACATAAAAAGTATTATAACATCGACAGAGATAAATAATAACATTGATATATTTTTTTTCCAAATTTTTTATGATATCTTTCTATTCATATTTTATTCAAAAATAAGATCATTATTACTTTCTTAAAAACACATAAAAAGTATTAGAACATTAAAATTGAAATGTATCTCGCTGCATTGTGTGAATATCCTTCTAGTAATATAATATAATGTTTGTTTTTTAAGTAATTAGATGGAAATATTTTAATATTATTTTTGTCTCCAGTTCCGAAATCATTTTATTATGTAAATGTCTTAATATAATAAAACAACGAACAAACCAAATAATATGATGTTGGATTTTAGGTACAAAAACAAACCAAATTTAAATTCAAATTTTTGTAACGAGTTCTGAGTATATGGGTTTAGAAATATAATACGTATGCAATTATTTTTCCATTCGATCTTGTTAATACACCATATTAACCTTCAACTTTATATATTAGTTGACTTGCAAAATAACCACACAAACTTATAATTCAAGAATAAACTAATGTTTTAAAATTGTAATCCACCCGCGCTGCATGGAGCGAGTATACCACTAGTATAAAAAATTTGGTATTCTTAACTCGTTTTTATAATAGAAAAAACAGTTCATTAATTTAATATCTTTTATTTTTAATTTTTTATAAATATAAAACTGTAAAAACTTTTTCTTCCATGTAATAACATTAAAACAAACCCAAGATGGAGAGTTCTTGTTCAATAATTGCAACGTGGTATGAGGTTACAAACCTTTTTGCATAAACACACCCAACAACTTGTGTATTTTTCTTTTTTTTGGACGAAAGGGTTTTTGGTCTAACGGTATGTGAGCTTTAGACCTTTTAGCAGGTCAGAGGTTCGAACCTCACCAAAAATGAGGAGGGTATATGAATTTATTTTGTTCTATTTGCCGTGTATAAATACTAAATACTTAAAAAAAAACTTATGTATTTTTGTTATAGAAATAAAGTTTCGGATTGAGTTGTATTCTCTTGGGCGCATAATAATTATTTTTTGTTGCCAAATGATGCTAAATTTTCTCTTGACAAGATCACGATAAGAAATAAAGGATCAAAATTATATTTTCATTAAAGTTGAGGGGCCGTATCGTAAGTATTCTTCGCAACAAATGATGGTTTTTTGGATCATCATGAACCAATATCAATCCAAATACCTTCGCAAGATTTGCAATCATAAAATACATAATATTGACAACTTTGCAAGCCCAACATCCTCATAACAGCAGAAACGAGTTGAGACTTGTATACGTAACGCCTTTATTGAATTGTCCCAACAGAAAAGGGTAAAATTTCCACAACAAGACAATGGGTTTAAATTCGGCCGACCAACTTACGCTACAAACACCTCCCGATCTTATTGAACAAAATACGGTTATTGATAATTGATACTTAACCTTGAACAATTATTGATGGGTCGGGTAATTTACAAGTATTTCAGTATGAATGATTTATCTCGAGAAAATGCTGTGATATGCTTTCATTATAATTCACCAAATGAACCTTTTCCATACCCCAAAAAAAGTGTGTTTAGGTATTCACCTTTCATTCAAATACTCGAATAGTGTAATTATTATTTCTAACATACTCAATTACAAGTGCCTTTAACTTTAATTAAATCTTAATTAAGACCCTCCTTATATTATGACTTTTTCATTCATACACTTTGGATTCACTATAGATCCCACTGATTAAGCTTACAAACCCCTAATTATAAGATCAATAAAGATGTTCAAAATCCATCAAATGAACCAAACAAAAGAAAACTATAGTCTAGGGACCATTTATGCAATTCCTCGAAACTTATTTCAATTTTACCTGGTTGTCTTCCTTACCCGGACCAGACTAAGAGCCCGACAACTCCTACCATCGATTTCCTCCTTCCACGAGCTCCCATTCGTCCAATCTTAAGCTCCAAACCTATTTTCATGGCTATACCAGTGATCTTCGAACCATTAATTGCATTAAACCGATGCATGTTGGTTTTATTTTGATCCTCTTACGTTAAGTTCCAGAGTTTGTCAAATTCTACCCCTTAATTAAATAAAACAGGGATATTTAAATCGTTTGAAAATAATAATCCATTAATATTAATTTTAACAAAAGACATATCTTCCTCAAAAATACATGCAACAATTTTCTTATTTAATTATATATTATAATATTATTATTGACTTATTGTATTTATTTTTGGATGGTTGTAATTTAATATGTATTATTTTATTTAATCTTGCTATGGATATAAATTACAGTGAAAAATTCAAACAATCAAATTTCTGTAATAAAAACACTCGTATTATACACAATAAATCTTTCTATATCCCCAACCCTCAATCCTCATCTTGAATTTCATACACCTTATTGCTCAAAACTTGATTTCCTTTCTTCGAGTGGCGCCGATGTCGCCGGTCAAACTTCGGCCTCCCCGTCTCTTTGAATCGTTGTCGAAGCAACGGATCAACCACACATTCCGGTGGAGGAACAGAGTACCGCAAAGTATCGTAACAATACGAATAATACATGTATTTTTCTCTAAACCTTTTCATGGCAGACTGTTGTTTAGGTGTAATGTTGTTGTAATGGATCGTTTCGAGTTGTTTGTCCATCTGGGCGCAGTCGTCTGTTAAAACTTGTTGAATTGGATCGGAGACGCAACCGTGGAGGACGAGGTCGGTCATCTCGGTCACAAAAGGGGCGTATTTGTAATTCACCTTATATTTGCCACCGTTAGTAGCCCAATTCGAAGCATCCCATATGGTCGCATATAACGCCATCGGCTTCGAAGGGAAGTCACTGCCCATTTCATCGCTTTTTATTATCTCCCGTATCGGAACGTCATCTATATAAAATCTGCAAAAAATAAAAAATAAAAAACAAATATGATAAGATTATTTATAACAAAACATCATAATTTTGGACTTTAATTTTAACTAAAAATGTTCATTGAATGGTGCAACTTTATTGCTGTCTTTCTTTATGACTCAAAGTATCAAATTCTAATACGTAAATTGACTTTTTAAAGATATTATTATGTATATATAATAAATATTATTAAAAAAAGAAATAATAATATAAATAATATTATTACTATTACGTACATGATTTTGGAGGAGGTCCATAAGATGGTATAACGATGGTAGGCTTTGGAAGGGTCAAACCACAAGGTGTATCGTTCTTCTCTACCTCTGCTTGTACTTCCATTGCCGTATAAATTGGTCTGAAACCTCCATGGCTTCCCTTTTATATTCCCTAAGAACTCAAAATCCAACTCGTCATGGGTCTTCTCGAACACATCTCCATTTGAAGTCTGCATATTACATCATCATTTCGTAAGCAAAACATCAACACAACTAACAAGTAATCATTACAACTTCAGAGCATATATATATATATATATATATATATATATGTTTGAAATTACAAAAGAAAAGTTGATAAAGAGATACGTACATAGAACGCTACGACGATTCCAGCAGTGTATTCAGAAGGTAGTTTGATTCTAGCACTGAATAATCCATGGTTGTAGAGGTCTGATGATCTAAATCCAGCACCTGAATTAAAAATCCATGCTTGCTACCTGATCAGTATACATATATATATATATATAGAGAGAGAGAGAGAGAGAATGGATATATATGATATGATACCTGTGTATTGGTTGAGGTGGAGATGGACGGTGTTATCGTTATGGAAGCGGAGGAGATTGGTGTCGCCGCCGAAGAGTTGAGTGAAACCTTTCTGGAAGGAAAGTGGTTGTGGAAGCGATGCGCCGGCGATGGGCAGGAGGAAGATGAAGAAGGATATACAGAGAAAATTCATGGTTTTCGACTGGTGTTTGAACAGCGTAATTTCTGTCTTTTCTATTTATATATATTATATGGAAAGGAGAGAGAAGAGATGTCCTAATTAATTATTTAATTAATATATTTATATTATTAAAAATATTAATGGATTAATTAATTAAATGTCCAAAATAATTGAGAATGTTTAAGACCGTCTTAAATCATCTTGCTTTAGACGCAATTCTAACAAACTCTATTACCATTGTTTTATGCAAATCTATGAAATAAAAAATATTAATATAGATTAAAATTAATATTAAGGGGTTTATAGAAATTTGAATATTAGTAGAATCATATAATATTCAATATAAAAATGGGATTATGGGGTTGGGTGGTTTAGAAATCATGTGAAATAAAAACCACAGAGATGGCTTTTTATTTATTTATTTATTTATTTATTTATTTTATATGAATATTATGATGGGCGGTCAAAAATGCGTCATGTTTGGTTGGGGAGAGAGACGTTGAGATCAGGGGTATTCTCGTAATTCAGTCAAAAGAAAATAAAAAAGTCAAAAATGTGTTACGCGTACCAAGCAAAACCCCTTTGCGTAGAACGCTGATTAACCTTTCAAAAGTGTACATAGAAAGCTACAAATAAAATTCATTATAAAATATCATATATTTCACTTTCTTTAGTACCAGATGTATATATTAAAATCAACTCAAATCATATATTAAAAATATAAAAAATGACTTTAGATATTGGTGTCTTTATTAGTGATGGTCGAAAACCGGTCCCGGACCGGACCTAATCGGTCCTAAACTTTCTCATAACCGGACACAACCGGTCGAAAATGGTATGCCGGTCAAGGTACTTCATAACCGGTTATGGGCCGCCGGTCCCGATCCCGGCATAAAAAAATAATATATTTTTAAATTTTTTTAATGATATATATTTTTAATAAATTATAAAATTTACAATTAGGTCACTCAAGTACACTTTAAAAATGCGTTTTAATATAATTAAAACTACATTGTCTTATAAAAATACATTATACAATTATTTAAAAATACATTTATTTATAAAACTATTTGAATTTTCGGGCTGGGCAAGGCCAGTCCATAGCCGGTCCCGGTCCCACGAAACTACCAAAAACCCTAACCGGTCCCCGTTTTCAGTCCCATAACCGGTCCTTATCGGTCCCGGGCAGGGCCGATTTGGCCATCACTAGTCTGTATGAGAGAGGAATTTTAGTATTATAGGAATGTATTCAACAGTTATACAGTGCAATTATTTCACCCATTTTTACCCTGTAAATTAATTTTAACGATAAATAATAACAATAATAATTATTCTTTGAACTCAAAAAAGTATTATTTTTCCTGTTTATTTTGTTAAAATAATATATTGTTTTTTACATTTGTTTGTTAGCAACTGTTATAGAATATTATGAAAATCTATACATAAATGCAATAGTTATAGAAAGAGGAACGGGTGAAGATGGACCAACTGAAATCATGAATAATACAAGTGACGAGGTGGGAATCCAATTTTAAACGGTAACTTTGATCGAAGATGAAACAAAACGATACAAGTTTATTAAACAAGGATCGTTAAAATAAGGCCACCAAGTCAACCCATGTGGTCTTTATACCTAAACCATAATTCAATGTGTAATAAAAGGTAAAACATCACTCATACAAAAAGTTACGTTTAATTTATTAAAACTGAAGTTTGACATCTTTTATGATCTGTTTCATTTGAGTCACTCTCAATTTTCGGGTGTGCATAATTCATTCTAGACCAACAAAAGTAAAGAACCGAACTGTATTTGGCTATGTTCTATTACATGATTTTCTCAAACCATTGTCGGTTGAATAATTAAAAAAACAATTCTTGGTTCATTTTCTGTAAAGATAAAAAACGTGTAGATAAAATGTAAAGCTCAAGGGATAGACTCGTCAAATGAAATCGTACTAATTGAGCAAATCATGCTCATGCTCGCATACAAGGCCTCATTGATTGGTCAAAGCAAGTTGAGCCATGTATATCGCTTGAGCTCTCATGGATGTAAAAGTGAGTTATAGAGCGACCTCAACCTTGTGTTGATTTCAGACCTGTTTGACAGACCAAAAGAGTAATTCTCTTGAGAGACAAGGGAACAAGGTTGAGTCAGCTTAATATACGTACTCCGTGATCAAAGTAAGCGATAGAGACTTCCATGATTTAATAGGTGGCTCCTATGCAAAACATACATACATACATACGTACGTACGTACGTACATACATACATACATACATACATACATACACGTACGTACGTACGTACATACATACGTACATACATACATACATACATACATACATACATACATACATACATACATACATACATACATACATACATACATACATACATACATACATACATACNTACATACATACATACATACATACATACATACATACACATACAAGAACAACAGATTAGTTTTATAATACTTTCTACTATGTTCAATATCTTCAGAAATGTTATGCTTCTGTGTATGTTCAAACTACAAACACATCATTTGCAAACTACGCGTTTTAGAAAAGGTTTAATTATGCAAAGTGTTATATGACATGATGTTCATACATGCATCATTAGTTAGGATTATATGTGTAGGGTCATGGGGTGGGATGTTGGAATTTCAAGACAAAACACCCCAAAAATGCATAGATATAGTTTATGTACTGTGAAGATACGTCTATATTTAATTTATATTATCGATAAATATTGCAATTAATGTACGTGGTTGTTTCACTTATGATAAATGGACTTTCAGCTTCTTTTTTTATTAACCTAGATATTCAACCCGTTATGCAAGCTGACTAATCCTAGTGCGACCACTTGCTTTGCAGATAGCCCGGAGTTACCGCATTTGAACCTCCGTAGCCACAAGAGAATTTTTATTTCTCCTTGGATTTGAACTTGAGACCTCTTGATATTTTTGACCTTTGGAGCCAAACTCAAACCAATCAGACACCACCACCCTTGTGGTTAATGGACTTTCACCTTGCGCCAAATCAACATCAAGATATCATTTGTTTAGGTGATTTATGTTGCATAGGTATTAAGGTTCAACATGATTTGCAAAATAGTTTCAAGAACGTATTTTAGTTCTTTGTGATCATATGTTTTATGTTATTGTTTTTAGCTCGTTCTCCGTTACTCATGAAATATGTTTAATTGTTGTTTAGTATAAAAACAATGACCTCATTTAGTGTAAAACTAATAATAGTATGTATCACTATAATAAAATCGAGTTTATAGGACACTAGAAATATCTGAGTGTCATACTAGACTGTTTTATAGAACATACTTTTATATGACCAAAGAATTATAAGTCATATATAAAAGCGTTGCAATAAGTTTACATGACGTTTTTGGATATTTTAAGTAGTATTTTAGAACATTTTTAGAAGTACCTTATAACACAGTTTTGAGAAGTATCTTGTAGACTCCTATTGTATTTCTTGTCACTGAAGATTTTCTTAAAGCGTATGAAATTCAACCTTATCAATATTATTACTTATTATTCTTTTATAACAATGATATACGAACATTTACCGCATCAAATATTTCGAGTTTGAATCCACCGTCACAGGCACTCAAACCAACCAAATTAACTTCTCATGTATCGATGAAATCGAACTCAATATCATCATTTTGTGACGTAATATAATGGAGGTGGAACCAACCCGACCCAACCCAACCTGATTTATTATTTCCTTCATGGCTACACAAAGAATTTAGAAATTCTATTTGAACTTCTTTTGTACATGATTGTATGCATCTTTGTTTTCTCCCTTTTTTCCTTTAAAGTTTTCACAACTCATTTCAAGTATGGAATCAAATAATCTCAATGGTCCCTTTTCCAAAATTAATATTATATTTTATATAATAATCCATCAAAAAATTAAGTTTTAATTCCTATCAGATTTTTCAAAATTGAGAATTAAAAATTAAAATCTTAATTTTTTTTTTTAACCGTTTCTTTATTTTACAGATTACAATATTAATTACATGACTAAAACATTCAATACAAATCATTAAATATTATTTTTCCCCTAATCAATTAATTTCAAGGATTCTTATTTGATAGGAATAAATAAAAAAAACCATTTTTCTCTTAAGCAATCATGTTTGGAGAGTTCTTCAAATTAGAAACATTTAAGGGTCGTTTACCTAAATGTTTTCCCAGTCAGCGTTTACCAGCAGGAGTCAACACCATAATTTATTTAGGGGCTGTTTACCAAATTTTTTATTAAGTCCTGTATGGATAAATTTGTCTGTCTGGGTAAATGGGTGTTGTTTACTTTTTTTATCTGAACCAACAGTCTGAATAACATAAATGACCGATTTACCCCCCAATGTTAATTATTTGAACATCAAAATTAATATTAGGTTGATGATGGGGTGTCTTATTTGGAAAGGAGGCGATGCTTTAAATAAGGGTAGATGTGTCATTTTTGTGGCTGAATGAGAACAACACACCATTTCTATCTATGCGAAAGTCATGTTCTGTGCGAATAAACTGTAAGTAAACAACCCAAATGAGTTGTACGAGTAAGCCAGATAGACCAATAAGCCTAATTAAGCCGCAAGTAAACAGCCCCTTAGATGCGTAAGATTTTAATGCATCAAATCATATCGAATGCAACAATTTACCAGGTAAGCGGTTACCTGGGTAAGAATCGTCACTCTCGCATATCAGGTAAGACTCTCCATCTTTCTCATCGCTCTTACCCTGTAAGATTCTTGACCCTTCTCATGTTCATCCGATGAAGAAATTTATGTGTTAAGCACTTATTAAGTAAGTGTTTAGTAAACGATCCCTTAATCATCTATTTTCTACTTTTTGCTATTTTGAAGAAGGTTTTGAAGAATCCGTTGAAACAACCCCCCCCCCCCCCCCCCCCCTTTCGAAATCTCTATTTTTCAAGAAACTTTTAAAGATGCTCTTATGATGTAAAGTTGTTTTACAGTTTTAAGTTGTCGACTGCAGTGAAAACAAAA